TGAGCAGCCCCGCCACGCCCAGGCAGGTGCTGAGGCAGGGCCTGCGACCCTCTGCCCTCCGCCCCTCTGCCCAGGGAGCCTTCGGAGCGCTGCAGAAGATCTGTGAAGACTCCTCGGAGCTTCTGGACAGCGACGCCCTCAACCGGCCCCTCAACATCATGATACCCAAGTTCCTGCAATTCTTCAAGCACTGCAGCCCCAAGATCCGGTGGGTGGGGCCCCCTAGGGTCTCGAGGCCTGGTGCGCCTGTGGGCAGGTTCTCAGGTGACCCCTGTACCTGCCTCTGCCAGGTCCCATGCCATCGCCTGCGTAAACCAGTTCATCATGGATCGGGCCCAGGCCCTGATGGACAATATTGACACCTTCATCGAAGTGAGCTGTTGGGCTGGTGGTGGGAGGGGTGAGGTGTATGTGCTGGGACCTGCACTCTGACCCTGCCCTGCCCTTTCCCCTTCTCCACCAGCACCTGTTCGCCCTGGCTGTGGACGATGACCCTGAAGTGCGGAAGAACGTGTGCCGAGCACTGGTGATGCTGCTGGAAGTGCGCATCGACCGGCTCATCCCCCACATGCACAGCATCATCCAGGTGTGCACTGCTGGCCCAGGCAGGCCTGGGAGGGAGAGGGCCCCACTCCCCACGCTGAGGCCTCCCGCTCCCTGTCGTCCCGCCCAGTACATGCTGCAGAGGACCCAGGACCACGACGAGAACGTGGCCCTCGAGGCCTGCGAGTTCTGGCTGACGCTGGCCGAGCAGCCCATCTGCAAGGAAGTCCTGGCCTCGCACCTGGTTCAGTGAGTGACATCCCTCCCTGCTCTCTGTTGCCACCCTGGGCTTCCCCTCCACTCCCTGCGCTTCTGCCTTCTTCCTGGCCCAGCCCCTGTGCTGTTCCTGCTTGTTTTCCATCCTTCTGCCGAGTGACGTTTTCCAAGGAAGGCTTGACTTTAGCGTACCAGTGGGGAACCCTGGTTGGCACCGCAGTTCAAGTGCACACCTGCCACCTGGAAGGCTGGCGTTAGATGTGGTCGGCTTTTTAAAAAAATTACAACCTTAAAAACCCTGTGGTGGAGGGTAGAGGGACATTCTGAGTCAGCACTAACTTGGATGGCAGCGGGTTTGGGTCTTCTTTTTCTTTTGGAGTTCAGGTTCTTAATGACCTCAAGTGACCGTGATCTCCAAGGAAGGCCTGGAGGAAGGCGAGACTGGGAGAAGCAGATTTCATGACCAGCACCTCCCAACCTCCCCCTGGCCACCCTGTTCCCCCACTAGTGTGTGTGAAAAAGGGCCCTGAGTCCTTTTAATAGTTCTAAAAATCTGTGGAGACATATAGGAGCCCAGGCTGCCCCACTCCTCCAGTCCTACAGCTCTGCCCCTGGCTAGTTAGGAGACAGCAGATCACCCCCAGGAAGCAGGGACTCCCTGTAAACATAAGCAGGGCAGAACTCATGGCCCTTGCTTAGCAGAGCCCACAGCTCCGCCCCACGTACTGTTCATGATAGGGGAGCCTAGGCTTGTGTCAGAGGGTGTCTTAGGGCCAGGGTGCTGGCATGGGCAGGGCCTTACCAGCGGGTTTGTTTTAATTCTGAGACTGGAGGCACCGAAGTCTCAGTACAGGCCTCAGCTAAGCTGATGGGGCCCAGGGAGATTAAAGGCACCTATCTGTTCTTGGTCTGTCTATCCTGTCTGCATCCGCTTTAGGGGTCTCAGAGTAAAGAGATCCTTAGCCAGTACCTCCAGCCAAAGCCATGGGACTGCCTCCTCTGGACCAGCTTTGGGCGGGCCTGCCCGTGCATCAGGGAAAACGGGCAGGGCTGTCCTTGGCCGGGGGTGATGCCTAGGAGGTGATAAAAGGCCTGTGCAGAACAGCACACCCAGGCTGGAGTCTGAGCTTTTGATCCCAAGGAGTGTGAGTCCCAGCTGTCTCCAGGAAGGTGTCTTGTGCCAGGTGTCCTTGTCTCGGGTGCAGAGGGCCGGAGATGCAATGAGGGGCAAGGGCACAGTGAAGGGTAGAGCCAGGAAGGGCCGACTGTCCCGATGGCAGAGTGACTGAGTAGGAGTGCCCAGTGCAGTTCTCCAGATGAACGACCGCAGGTCACCGCTGAAGGCATCACCTCGAGCTCCTTGGTGCTCCTGCTGTCCCTCCCATCTGCCCCAACCCCCAACCCGCTCCTGGCTTCCCGGACCCTGCCCCCTCTCCCAGGCACCGGCTGCCTGGTTCACAGCCGCTCTCCCTGCAGGTTGATCCCCATTCTTGTGAAAGGGATGAAGTACTCAGAAATTGACATCATCCTGCTCAAGGTCAGTCAGGGCTGTGGGGCCCCACGGGTGAGTGAGGGCCGAGGCACTGGGGCCTAGGGCCTGCGGGTACTTAGTGGTCTTGCCGGGTCCCACAGGGGGATGTGGAGGAGGACGAGGCCGTCCCTGACAGCGAGCAGGACATCAAGCCACGCTTCCACAAGTCACGGACAGTGACTCTGCCGCACGAAGCTGAGCGGCCAGACGGGTCCGAGGACGCGGAGGACGACGACGACGATGACGCTCTGTCTGACTGGAATCTGAGTGCGTGGCCGGCCTCTAGGGGAGGGAAGCCGCCAAAGACCTTACTGCAGGAGTCCAGCGATACCTACTCCTGGGGGCATAGCTTCGGCTGGCTGGCCTACCCAGTGGGGTTCTCTGAGCCTCCCCCCATGGTCTTGTCTTGCCCCAGGGAAGTGCTCGGCGGCTGCCTTGGACGTCCTCGCCAACGTGTTCCGGGAGGACCTGCTGCCCCACCTCCTACCCCTGCTCAAGGACCTCCTCTTCCACCCCGAGTGGGTGGTCAAGGAGTCGGGCATCCTGGTGCTGGGCGCCATTGCGGAGGGTGAGTGCCTGCCTGCACCCAAGGGTGATAACTGCCCAGCCTGTCTGTCTGACTGGGAACTCCTGGAATGGCCTGGGATTGTTTAAGGGATGCAGACATGTGGCATTTGGGAGTGCCATCCCTACACTCACCTCGGCCAAATGGTTCTTGGGTCTCAGTCTTTCCCATGGGCCCTGGGCCTTGAAATCCACCCCAAACAAACTCTGCTGCCATTGAGTCCATACCAGGACCGGGTAGAATTGCTCTTGTGAGTTTGAGACTCTTTACGAGAGTAGAAAGCACCATTTTTCTCTGAGGAGCGGCTGGTGGTTTCAAACTGCTGACCTTGCTGTTAGTAGCCCAGCAAGTAACTACTACGCCACCATGGCTCCTGTGTGGACCTGTAATCCAGGCACCCCCTATGTCAGCATGCCGGGCCTGCCCTTCATTCTTAGAGAGGCAGTCCTCTGGGGTCAGTACCATCGAAACTTCAGTCCTAATACCGGGCACCCCCTGCAGCGCCTCCGCGGGCAGGCAGGACAGGTTCCTTGGCCTCTCACATACCCAGATTCCTTCCTCAGCACATCTGACAGATGGGAGATGGAGGGGCTGAGAGATGTCGCTTTGTCACACTCGCCCCACCTGGCTGCGGAGCTGGCCCACGTACGCCACACCGTGAAGCTTCTCAGATTCGCTCTGACCTGCAGGAGAAATAAACCTGGGGTTCTGGGAGGGCTCCCTAAATCAGCTCTGGTGGTACTGTGGTTAAATGCTTGGCTGCCAGTTGAAAGGTGGCGGTTCGAACCCGCCAACTGCTCTTGAGAGGGAGAAAGCTACGCTACGGCAGACTGCTCCCAGGAAGGTGAATCGCCTTGGGAAGCCTAGGGTGTTCCTGTGCTCTGAGTCAGAACCAGCCCTGTCGCCGTGTGTAGAATCCATGACAGAGGTCCCACATAGGACTGCTTCAGAAACGTTTCCAGATGGCGGCTGGAGCGCTCACCGGGCAATCTGGTGGAGACGCCGAGGAAGGGTTTCCTTGTGTGGGTGTGATAAGGCAGTTGAGGTACCGGGCACACGGGCATATGCTAGTAGACAATATGACCCGTACTTCGATCTTAATGACTCAACGGGACTCCATGAGATAGCGGAGAGCTCCTCGGGGGTGGTTTGTTGGAGCTTGGTCGTGTGAGTGGGTGTTTACACGGCTATCACTAGGGTTGCATTCAGCATTGTGTCATCTCCCATGACACCCCCAAACCAAATTCAACGGCATGAGTGGATGATGACTCAGCGACCCTATAGGACAAGGTAGAACGGTTACCCCTGTGAGTGTCTGAGGCTGTTAATCCTTTATGGGAGTCGAAAACCCCATCGTTCCTGTGGACCTCTCCGTAGCTTGCCCGTTTGCCCTTTGGGATTGGTTGTTTCTTATGGCTATCAATATTCATGGGACAAGACCTGGAGGAATTCACCCCACACTGCTGAAGCTAGGGTTTTTCATTTTGGATTTGGATTTAGTTTCCTTTTTTTTTTTTTTTAATTGGAAAAAAAGCACCGTGTTTATACTTTTTTTAAAAAGGTGAAAAGAAAACACAAACCTCCCAGAGGGTTGGCAATCCTCTGCTCACCCGGGCCCAGCTGCTCGCTTGGCCTGTGGGCGGTGTTTGAATGCATGAGTGACCAGATGGTTCATATCACTCGCATGATGGGTTGTGTTTGATGAGTGGAAAGGCCTTTCTCAGATGGTTTCCAGTGACCCGGCGAGTTACTTACCCTTTCAAGCCTCAGTTTGCCCAGCTGTCAAATGAGACCGATGGTGGTATAGTGGGGCCTTGGCCCACTGCCTCTTTTTTGCTGGCCCCTGCAGGGTGCATGCAGGGCATGGTGCCATACCTGCCTGAGCTGATCCCACACCTGATCCAGTGCTTGTCGGACAAAAAGGCCCTGGTCCGCTCCATCGCCTGCTGGACACTGAGCCGCTACGCCCACTGGGTGGTCAGCCAGCCCCCTGACATGCACCTCAAGCCCCTGATGACTGAGCTACTCAAACGCATCTTGGATGGCAACAAGAGGGTACAGGAGGCAGCCTGCAGGTGACCCTCGATCCCGGCCCCTGCACCGCCTTCCCGCCTGCCCCATCCACCCGCCCCACTGGCTGCCTATTGGGAAATGATGTTACCTTGACCCTTGACATCACGCTGATTTTTCTTGTATTCGTACTGACTGATCCCGGCGTGCCTGCCTCTGGCTCTGGCTTGGCCCTGCTTGGCCCGCTGCTGCCCACTGAGGTCCCGCTCTCCCACCAGTGCCTTCGCCACCCTGGAAGAAGAGGCCTGCACGGAGCTGGTGCCCTACCTCAGCTACATCCTCGACACCCTCGTCTTCGCCTTTGGCAAGTACCAGCACAAGAACCTGCTCATCCTCTACGACGCCATCGGCACCCTGGCTGACTCTGTGGGCCACCACCTCAACCAGCCGGTGAGAACTCAGAGCGGTGTCCTCCTTCCTGATCCCTGGGCCCCTTGGCCACCCGTGACCTGGCGGTGACCCTGTGTCACATGCCAGGGATGTGGCCATGACCTCGCCCAGCAGACAGACAGATCCGGCTCCCGCCCTCGCCCTGCTCACAGTCTAGTGGGGGAGCCAGACAGTTAGGAGACAGTGTGGTAAGTGCTGTGTCGGGGGTAGCCCAGGGCCTGTGGGGCCAGAAGATGTGGACCCGGGTTCTGAGAGGGGTGGGCTGAGGAGGGAGGGCCAGGATGGTGTGGTCAGAAGGCACCACAGAAGGCCTGGACAGTGGGCGGAGGCAAGGCCCTTACCAGACCTGGCCAGTGGGTGCCAGAACCCCACTAGTTCCCAGGACACCTCTCCACCCAAGGAGCCCCAAATTCTTGCTCCCCCTGCAGGAATACATCCAGAAGCTGATGCCGCCACTTATTCAGAAGTGGAATGAGCTAAAGGACGAAGACAAGGACCTCTTCCCGCTGCTGGAGGTAGGCGCCGCCAGGCCGTCTCCCGCAGCCCGGGCTGGGGCCGGCCCCCTGGGGTTCACCTCTCCTGCCCTTTTCCCCACCAGTGCTTGTCTTCGGTGGCCACTGCCTTGCAGAGTGGCTTCCTGCCCTACTGTGAGCCCGTCTACCAGCGCTGTGTCACTCTGGTACAGAAGACGCTCGCCCAGGCCATGGTGAGCACTGCCCTGCCCCCAGGCCAGCTCCTCTGCTGCTGCCTCAGCCCTGACACCACCTCCCCTCCCCTCCCCACCTCCCCCACTTCCCTCTGGGCCCAGATGTACAACCAGCACCCTGAGCAGTATGAGGCCCCTGACAAGGACTTCATGATCGTGGCGCTGGACCTGCTGAGCGGCCTAGCCGAGGGCCTGGGGGGTCACGTGGAGCAACTGGTGGCCCGCAGCAACATCATGACGCTGCTCTTCCAGTGCATGCAGGTGGGTGCCCTACTGCCCAGGGGTGGCCCGGGCATTATCCTTGGTAGCCTGTGGGGGCCAGAGGCCACCTTGATTGTACCCTAGGGAAGCCCCAGGGGAGGGGCCTTGTGAAAATTACTGCTGTGCTCACTTCAGCAGCACATATACTAAAAATTGGAACGATACAGAGAAGATTAGCATGGCCCCTGTGTGTGGATGACACGCAAATTCGTGAAGTGTCTCGTATTTTATTAAAAAAAGAAAAGATTCTGATAACACTGGAGAGTAGAGGAACCCCAACCCCGCTCCCCAGAGGGTCTGCTCTCCTGCTTTCTTGTTGACCTCCCATTGGGTCCTGCGGTGATGGGGGGGTGGGGCGCCCTGAAGCTAATGAGGTTAAGGAGGTGTCCTTGGGTCTGGTAATGTCGGAACTAGCTTCTCAAGGCTCTTGAGTAAGGGATGATTTGAGACCTTGGTTGGTGATCTCGGTGGGAGGATGCTAAGAAGGGAAGGGCTAGGCTGCGAGGCTGACCCTGCCTTGACCCCCAGGACTCCATGCCTGAGGTCCGGCAGAGCTCCTTTGCCCTCCTGGGAGACTTCACCAAAGCCTGCTTCATCCACGTCAAGCCCTGCATCGGTATGACCCCTATCTTGTCCTGACCCATGAGCCCAAGTCCTGCCTCAAGTGATGAGAGATGCCCTGGGAGGACCATGACCGAACGGGATGTATTCGTACTGTCTGATGGGGCTGCCGGGCTAGCACACAGGAGCCCACCCTGAGGATCCTGCTCTTTAGCCCTGCTCCCTCCCTCCCTCCCCCCAACCAGCGGAGTTCATGCCCATCCTGGGCACCAACCTAAACCCTGAGTTCATCTCCGTCTGCAACAATGCCACTTGGGCCATTGGCGAGATCTGCATGCAGATGGGTGAGTGAGCTTCCCCACTGGCCGGTTCCCAGCCTGGGGGTGGGGGCCTGACTCTGACTCTGACTGACAGGTCTCTCTCAGATCAGCCTGATGCTCTTTGAGGAAAGCTCCAGGTGGCTGGCAGGGTTTATGGCCCATCTCTGCCCAGTTTCCTCAGGGATGGGGCCAGATTAGAGTTGGGACTCAGGGGCTGTTGTGATTTGACTGGTGGCCCCTCCGGTTGGAGGCAGTGGACTGAGAGGCCCCTTGGGATTGGTTGGGAGATCTGGTGGCTTTTAAAAAAAATTGCTTTATTAGGGGCTCATACAACTCTTAACGCAATCCATACATACATCAATTGTGTAAAGCACATTTGTACATTCATTGCCCTCATCATTCTCAAAACATTTGCTCTCCACTTAAGCCCCTGGCTTCAGCTCCTCATTTGTTCCCCTCCCTCCCCGCTCCCTCCTCCCTCCTCCCTCATGAGCCCTTGATAATTTATAAATTATTATTTTGTCATATCTTGCCCTGTCCAACATCTCCCTTCACCCACTTTTCTGTTATCCCTCCCCCAGGGAGGAGGTCACATGTAGATCCTTGTAATCAGTTCCCCCTTTCCAACCTACCCTCCCTCTATACTCCCAGTATTGCCACTCACACCACTGGTCCTGAAGGGATCATCTGCCCTGGATTCCCTGTGTTTCCAGTTCCTATCTGTACCAGTGTACATCCTCTGGTCTAGCTAGATTTGCAAGGTAGAATTGGGATGATGACAGTGGGGGAGGAGGAAGCATTTAGGAACTAGAGGAAAGTTGTATGTTTCATCATTGCTACATCGCACCCTGACTGGCTGGCTCGTCTCCTCCCTGAGACCCCTCTGCAAGGGGCTGGTGGCTTTTTTCCAAAGGTAGTTTCAACCTGGTGTCTAGGGATCATTCCAGGGAAACCTCTTGCGTTTACAGGGCTTGGGGTTAGGTCTGGCTGGTGCAGGCCTTGTTTTACCTCATTGGTCTGGGCAGCCAGTCTTTAGGTGGAACCCAGCGGCACCAATGAGGTGGGGGCAGAGATGTGGGGCCTGCAGAGTCGGTTGGCCGACGGTAGGCCCTGCGGGGCTCTGCTCTGACTGGCTGTCTCCCAGGAGTGGAGATGCAGCCCTACGTGCAGATGGTTCTCAACAACCTGGTGGAGATCATTAACCGGCCCAATACTCCCAAGACACTGCTGGAGAACACAGGTGGGTGCTTGAGTCCACTCCATAACCCTCTGGAGGTGGGCCCTGGGCTGCCTGGACGTGTTAGGAAGCGGCCTCGGGAAGAACCGCGCCTGAAAGAGACCCAGAGGGGCAATCAGGGAGGAGTCTAAGAAGGGATGTCCTTGGGGGAGGCCCTGGCTTGGGAGGAGCCATTCTCTTGGGGTCCATGGGGCGGGGCTTGGTGCCTAGTGGCAGAGGTCCTGCCACGTACCGTCCCGGGGCCACTCGGGGTTTCAGGTCGCCTGACGAGCCCCTCTGCCATTCCAGCCATCACCATTGGTCGCCTGGGCTACGTGTGCCCCCAGGAGGTGGCACCCATGCTGCAGCAGTTCATCCGGCCTTGGTGCGTGTGGGGGTGCCTGCTGGACCAAGGGCTGGGCAGTGGTGGGTGGGGCGGCCCCGGCCAGCTCCCTGCTCTGCACTCGCCCTGGCTCCACCTGCTCTTCTGCCCTGAAGATGCTCCTCCAGCCCCGCCCACCTACACTCCCCTTCCCCTTGTGGCAGGTGCACTTCTCTCAGGAACATCAGGGACAACGAGGAGAAGGACTCTGCCTTCCGAGGCATCTGTATGATGATAGGCGTCAACCCGGGTGGCGTCGTGCAGGTCGGGGCAGCTGGGCTCAGAGGGGAGGCACTGGGGCTGATTCACGACGGCCCCTGACACGGGACCCATCATGTTTCAGGACTTTATTTTCTTCTGCGATGCTGTAGCTTCGTGGGTGAGTCCGAAAGATGATCTTCGGGACATGTTTTATAAGGTGAGGCCAAGGCTGAGATGGGCAGGGGGAGTCAGGCTCCAGCCCCGTTTGGGCCTTGGGTGCTCCCTCACCCCGTGTCGCCCCTCTCCACCCCACACAGATTCTCCATGGCTTCAAAGATCAGGTGGGGGAGGAGAGCTGGCAGCAGTTCTCAGAGCAGTTCCCCCCGCTGCTCAAGGAGCGGCTGGCTGCCTTCTACGGGGTCTAGATGGGATGGGGCTGCCAGGTGAGACTTCGGGCAGGGGCAGTGCTGTGCAGATGGAGGGAACAGAGGGAACCACACTAAGCCTATCTCTCTGCCCCCAGGTTTCTGTCTGCGTCACCATCAGAGGGATTGCCAGGAACGTGCTGCGTCCAGAAGTCACCGTGCCCTGGTCGAGGGGGGTTAGGGAGGAGGAAGTGGGACCCCGATACAGACGCCTACCCCGTCCGTCTGTCTGCTGCGCCGGGCCTGTCTGGCCAGGGGGCGGGCAGGTGGGGGGGCCTCCACGCTCATCCTACAAACGGGGGTGGGGGGGTGGGAGTTCTTGGTGGGCAAGAGCCCCTTCGCTCTAATTGTCTCAGGCAGCCCACTTGGGCCAGCCATGTGGGAGGGAGGACTCAACC